ACAGGAGGGTGGGGGAGGGTGGGAGGTGACCACGGTGCGAGAAGGTTGGGGTGTGCAGATGTTTGCGGGGAGAGGTCTCCGGCAGAAATGAGGAGTAGTCTGTCATCATCTCTGCTGAGGCCACATGTCACTTCAGTTGTCCCCTCTAGAGAATGGAAAGTTATGGGACCTGTTCAGAGGTGAGGAGACCTGGGTCCCTGACCCAGCCACCCAACTGCTCTGGGTTCCTGGAAGACCCTAGAGGAGGTGAGGAAGAAAGAGGGTGAGGAGCCCAGTGGGTCCCCCCTCTGGGCCTCAGTTTCCCAACAGCACAATGAAGAAGGGACAAAAAGCCTGAACACTGTCGGCTGTTAGGAGACAGAGGGCAAGTGACTCTCTTTGCCCCTCAGATGTGAACGCTGACTTCTCCTTTCCTTCCCCAGTATCAAAACATCTTAGAGAATTACCTCACAGACTCCATCAAGCTCTCACCAGACGACCAGTCCAGGAGTAGATGCTGCTGACCTCCCAGACTCCCTCTCTGGACACCAGAGACCCAGAGTGCCCTGGGCCTGGTCATCTCAGGCACCACCAGCCCCACCACCTGCCCAGGCTTGGCCCAGGCTCTGTGGCAGAGCCCCTGGTTTCCTTGGGTCTGTGCTGGGCCCAGAATCAGAGGGCAGCCCCTCCCCCAGGCTGAGCGAAGTGAGCACAGGGCTGGGTCCTCAGGAGTCCTGATGAAACTCAGAATGTCACAGTTAAATCCTGGCCTGGAGGAGTCACAGTTTCCCCGCTGGCTCCAGCTTTCCTGCCACCGCCTTCCCCAAACACACTCCTGCTCCAGAATGCTCATCTCTGCAGACAGGCAGCGCTCTGGAGTCCTGTGGACTGGCTGTCCTGGCCCACGCCACCCAACCCACAAAGCCACAGCACAGCTCTGGACAAGGGTGCAGCTCAGCCTCACTCAGTAATCAGGGTCAGGAAGCGAGGGACTGGACCTCACATAAGGGCCTACCTCCACCTGTGGCACAGCTGCCCAGTCCTGGGACACCCTTCTGTCCCCTCAGCGTATAGGACTGAAGGACCCCAGAAAAAGCCACCAGCGATGGGATCATTACTACTTGTTGATGCTCAGGCAGCTCCCATAAATCTCTCTGAGTCTCAGCTTGTTCACCTGTCAAATGGGAATGGCATATGCCCCGCCCACATCAGAGTGTGATTTTGAGAACCATCCCTCTGCCCAAATGTCAGTTACTCTTGTTGATACGTATTTATTTATCCTTTCATCAAGTGTTTTTGAGCATCTACTATGTATCATGCACTGAGGTCCAGTGAAAAAGGAAATAGACAAGGATTCTGTTTTCCTGGACCCTACATTCTGGTTAGGGAGAGAGACAACAAAGAATTTACACAGATATTTTCAAAGAGTAAGTAAGTACTTCAACAAAATGAAACAAGGTAATGGGATACAGAGGGACAGGAGCTGGGGTTGGGTGCTGTTTCAGACAAAGTAGTCCAGGAGGGCTTCCCTGAGGAGGTAATATTTGGCTTGAGGGCTAGAAAATGAGAGAGGGCCTGCCACCTGAGATCAGGGAGAACATTCCAGGGAGACAGAGCAGCAAGGGTCAAGGCCCCGAGGCGAAGATAAGCTTGCTGTGCTCTGGGAGCAGCGAAAGGACATTCAGTCGCCTGAGCACTGAAAGCTGCTGTCCCTGAGACAGCAGAGGGAACCCCGCCTCCTGGATGGTTCCTTGATCCTCTGCGGACTGGCCACCAGAGAGCAGCAGTGTCCTTCTCGCTCAGGCTGAGCAGACAGTGGCTGCTCCAAGGACACTTGAAGAGCGGGCTCTGGATAGGCGGGTGCTTCAAGATTCGTGGGGCAGGAGAATCCCAGTTTCTTAACCTTAGTAAGAAATGGGAAAAGCTGCAACATCAATGATTCAAGCAAGAAATCCACATAAGTGACAAACGCTAGAATGAGGGGCCTGGAGAGCTCATGGATCCTCTGTCCCTACAGACTCTAAGGCCATAATGTTTCTTCTGGCTACGGGCACCATAGACAGGGGTGGACAAGATGACCTCCTCATGGCCACAGAAGTCTCCTGTCCACACAGAAGTATCCTTCCTGAGCTGCAGGCAGAGCTGGGGATGTTAGTCTATGACTTCTGAGTGTCACCTGACTCTGAAGATACACCTAGAGGTAGGGGGGTGGGAGGACAGTCGGGGGGGAGTTGAGAGACCCTTCTCCCTTCCCCAACTGTGAAGTGAAAGCTGGCCTGTCCTGGCCAGTGGCATGGACTCGGCCCGGGGGCAGGTGGCCTGGAGCACAGTTCTGCCTCTGTGGCCTTGGTGGGCTGGCTGGCATTCCGCACATCCCTCAGCTCTCCTGGGAGGCCGTCGGACTGTGGGTTGGATACATGGAGTGTGGGAGAGTGTACGCAGCAGCTTGCGCACCGCGATGGACATGTGACCGTTTCTAAGTGTATACAATAAATAAACGTCTCCTTTGTTTTTATCCTTCATGGGGTTTAGTTATTAAATAAAAAAGATATGTCTCCATAGTTTAAAATGCAAAAGATACTAAAGGGAAGAAAACAAAAAGTAAATAAGACTAGCGATGTGACTGGAGGGCCCCAGTGCAAAATGAAAATGCCCAGCCCCTGATTCTAAAGTATTAAGAATTTCAAGACAGCAACAGTGGCTCACTAAGCCAAGCACAGGGACCTCTGGGTGCAGGCTGCACGGCCCGGGAAGCCGCCCCGAGTGAGTAACTACGTTTTCAGTGCCTCCAAGATGATAGAGCTCCTGGCCAGCCCACCTGGGCTGCAGACACACCGCAGCTTATAGATAAGAAGACACCTTTGCAAGAGCTTCATGAAGATTCCAGCCTAGGCCCAAACTGCAGACAGAATGCTCCACGTGGGGGTGGGGAGTGGAGATCTGAGAACCCACAACATACCTCCTCTTATAACGAGGGAACATGCTGACCAATCCACAAGGCAGAGGGATCTGAACTGACAGACTTCAGACTGGCCCCACTCCCCACGCCCATGCCCACCTCTGAGCCTGAGCCTGGCCCCCTGGGCAGTAAGAGGACCGAGATGAGCAGAGCTGCCGACCCAGGCTGCCCTGGCATCCACCAGAGCCCTGCTCAGAGGGGCAGCTCCCGGAGCCAATCCATAAGGAACAGGATCCGGGCCAGGGCTCTGGGAGGCACAGGCCCTTGGGGCTTGAGGCAAATCAAAACCAAATGTAATCACCAAATAAACCTGAGTTGGGCCAGGCTGGGTGCCACATGCCCAGAGGGGTTTGGGGAAATGCTGACTTTTTCTGCTGTTTGCTGCTGCTCAGCAGAGGCTCCCTCGCTGCCCACCCACCGGGCACGGGGAACGCGCAGCAGAGGCAGGCGCATGGCCGGCGCCCTCCACGTGGTCTTGTTCCTAGGAGAGCACAGGCCAGTGGTGGCTACAGAACAGCCTCGCAGGCAGCAGCTCCCAAACTGACCGCCCCGGGCATGGCAGGCCTGCTGGGCAGGGGACTGGCGCGAGGACGGGCCTGCGGGGCGCGTGCCCGGATGCTGCCTCTGGGGCGTGCGAGCTGGGCGCCGGGGGAGGAAGAGGGCAGGCTAAGTGGCAAGTGTAGTTCAAGCAGCGGGCGCTGGCCTGTACCAGGGCTCTGCGTGCGTGTGCTTTGGTGTGTGTGTCTGTGAGGTACGGGGTGCTTGTGTGTGCAGTTTGCTTGTGTGTGCAATACGTGTGTGTGTGTGCGTGGTGCAATGCATGTGTGTGTGTCTGTGTGTGTGAAGGTAGTGTGGCGTGTTTGTGCCGGGTGTGTATAGTATGGGCTGTTTGCGGGGGAGGTGTAGTGTGTGTAGTGTGTNTTGTGCCGGGTGTGTATAGTATGGGCTGTTTGCGGGGAAGGTGTAGTGTGTGTAGTGTGGGGGGGGGTGTAGGCTGTGTGGTATGTTTGTGTGTGGGAGGGTGTGTAGGTAGTGTGCTGTGTAGTGTGAGTATGTGTAGAGTATGTTCTGTGTTTGTGTGTGCGCTGTGCTTGTGTTTGGGGGGTGTGTGTAGGGGGTGGTGTATGTAGTGTGTGTGCTGTGTTTGTGGGGGTGTCTGTGTGGTACATGTATGATGTGTGCAGTGGGGGGTGTAGGTAGTGTGGTGTGCGGTGTGTGTGGTGTGTAGGGCATGTGCAGTGTGTGGCGTGTTTGTACGTGGGGTGTGCGTGTAGTGTGTTGGCCTGTGTGGTGGGAAGAGGAGCGGGGACATAGAAGGTCAGACAGTAGGGTGCCCTTGTTAAAGCACCAAAACACTGCCAATAAGCTCACAGGCTCGGAGACGACAGCGTGGACACAGGGCGCTGAGGTGGGGGGACAGGAGCGCTGCTAAGAGCCTTCCTTGTGCCATTGAATCCCCAGCGCAGCCACGAGGAGGGCGTTAGCCTCATTTTTCCAATGGGAAGACTGAGGCCCCATCTCCCTGCCCCTGTCCCCTCACCAGGCCCTGTCCTCACCACCGGGCATCCCCTCCGATCCGCTTCCTTCTCCCCGGCCCTCTGCCCGCGGGTCCGGGTGAGCGGCAGGCCTAAGCCACACTGCCGCCCGNNNCTCCACACAGCAGCCACCCCAGTGGCGTCCACGAGGACAGAAGCCCTCTGTGGTCCGCAGGACGCCCGCCACTGGCCACCGATGCTGTCCGGCCTCAGCTCTGGCCACAGCCTCCCCGACTGTGCAAATGTAGGACCTTCCCTCAGTTCCCCAGGGTGCTGGCTGCTTCTCCGCCTCCCCGCCTGCTGTGGCAGGAGGGACCTCTGTCAAAAACGCGGGCCCCTCTGTGGCCCTCCACCTGGTTCATCCCACCTTAGCTGTTAATTATCAGCTACAACATCATTTCCTCCAGCAAGGCTCCCCTGACACCCAGACCAGGTTAGGGGCCCCGCCATGTGCCCCACAGCCCCCATTATCTCAGTGCCATGGGACAGGGATTTTCATCAGTTTTACTCACCACCATCTCCCCTGTGCCCAGAGCAATGCCTGACAAGTGGTTGGTACTCAATAAATATTTTTGGAAGCGAGAGCACTTGCAATCCTTTATCATAATTGTTTGTTTGCCCTTAGACTGCCGTCTCCCTGAAGGCAGGGTCTGTTTGGATTCATATTTTAACCCAGCGCTCAGCACAGAGGTTGGCGCATAGTAGATGATAAATAAATATTGTGGAATACAACAGAATACTGTACTGCTGTCTTTTAAAAGGAAAATGATGCAATGTTCTATGTAATGACACGGAACAGATAGATATCTGAGACACCGTTAGGTAACAGGCAATAGCAGAGCCCTGCATGTGATGTGCTATCTTTTCTATAACAGAAAGAGGCTTCCCCTCACATTCACTGCTACTTGTACATAAAGAAAACTCTAGAAGGATGAATAAGAAATAAAAATGGTTGCCCTTCCAGCAGTTCCACTTCTGGGAATTTGTCCGAAGAAACCCAAAACACTAGTTCGAAATGTATCACCCTATGGTCATTGCAGCGCTATTTACAAGAGCCAAGATCTGGAAGCAGCCCAAGTGCCCGTCAGTCGAA